GGCAACATTGGTGAAATAAAATCCTAAGGGGATCAATATATAAAAACGGTAAATCTTTTCAGAAAATATTTTCTAAATCTCACAGCCCTGATTGTGTGGTCAGTGGTTCAGAGTGATTAGTCATGGCAAGGAAGATAGGTGGGCCGTCTTCTCCAGGTGGAATTTCCAGCTTTGGAAACCCTATAAGCTTGAGCCTACTCAATAAGGGAGTTTGCATTTTTTGATGTATGTACCTTCCAGTATCTAGGGGGATCCTGTGACTGTTAGATCCTTTCCAGGATTTCTAGGTTAATTTTATCTTAATATGTATGAATGGGGTTAAAACCTAAAAAATTACATTATGTCAATCAATAGTTCCTTATGATTCATTCTTCAGCTTAACATAATTGCCAAATTACCATGACTTGCCAAGATTTACAGTATCAAATGGTAATTGTTTTATTTCTATTTCCTGAATTGATCAAGTATTATGATAGGTTATACTAATTCATCAACCACACATCCTTATTAAAAAGTAACCCTTCAAGGGTGAGCAAATAGTAGTTGTTGTAGATTCTGAGTCTCCTGGCAATCCAGGCACTCACCTACTTAAGACTGATGGTTCAAACCCACCCAGAGAACCTTCAAAGACAGGCTTGACAACAGACTTCTCAAAGTATATTGCCAGATGGCGGCCATGACTTCAAATGGATCTGACAACAGTTTTTAAGTATTATCACTTGACAGGACAGGAGATACCTCATTATACCCCTAGAATTTTTTCCTGTTTATCTGTATTTTATTATGGAGATTAAGGAAGGAATACTGCATAGATAAGAAAAAATAGCACAAAGCTGGTTATATAGTAAGCTCACTGTAGTAGTCTCTGTAAATACTAATGTAAATCAGTTATGTCACTTTTCAGCAAATGGGACAATCAGACAAAATGTTTTAAAACATTTACTGTTTCCATTAAAAGCCTTTGTGTCCTAAGAAGGGACAATGGATATTCTTGATTTAGCTGCAACATTTCATTAACATACCAGCTTTAGAAAATTATTCAAGTTAAAGGCACTACACTGATAGCAAACGGCAGTCTAACTTTGCATTAACATGAGGGAGCCCTACCCTAGTCCCATTAAGCATTATCAAGAACTGAGGTACTTTGCAAACATCAGCTGCTTGTATTTACAACTTTTTGTCAGTTCTTTTGCTTTATTCACTTATTTTTACAGTTGTCTCAATTCTGACTCACATGGACACTATGTGTAGTAGCGCTATGTTGCAAAAGGTTCTGAATTGCTGGATTTTTAGAAGTCAACTGCCTGGTCCTTCTGTCCAGGTGCTACTGGAAGATTCAAATGTATCCATCCCCTGCCCCAGAGGAACTTTTTAACAGCCAAATAGCTATATGCCCCTGGGGGGTATGCACACACATTTATGTATTTTTGTGTCTAATTTTCCAATATATCAACTTATGTGCCATCAACTTGAGCTGATTCATAGGTGACCTTCTAGCAGGTTTTCAGAGGCTATATAAATTTCAGATTTCTCATTTTCCTTCCTTGGAACAAGCTGGTAGATTCAAACCCTGGCCTTTGAGTTAGCAGTGCAACTTCTTACCCACTAGGTCATTATATACTGTCACAACAGATTCATAGCTAACCCTCCAGGGGGTTTTCAGAGGCAGTAAATCTCACAAGATATTGCCCATCTTTCTCCTGTAGAACACAGGGTGGAATATGGTGGATTCAAACTGTGTCTCTGAGCAGTTCCTTACTACTAGGCCACAATGGGTTCCTTAAAATTACATTCAATAACCTATTCCACCTGGTCTTAAGCAATTTCCCAGGTTATATGTTGTCCAGTCAACTGCGACTCAGCGACCCTATGCAGAACAGCTCTGAACCCTGCCCTATCCTGAACCAATCTGTTTATGTCAAACCTACTCCCATTACCTCGGTTACTGATGCTATGTCCAAGATAGGTTTCCATGTTCACCGATTTGTTACTTCATTTAGATTCAAATTACTAAGATCTCAATGATTTTTTAGTGTAATTTTACCAATAGTGGCTGACCTACCAGTTTGCCAAAAAGTTCTATGTACACTTAAAGTGGTTTGAAGCCCACAAATCCTGTGTAAGATTTAAAGATAGGCAGATCACCTTTAATGCTGACATAATTTAGCTCCTACTCCTTAATTCAGGTCAAGTTTCACACATGACTTCAAATGTATGTCTGGTTAAAACTGTATCTGAACTTCCCAAGAACTTTTCTCTAAGTGTCATTAAGACAGTAACCAAGGCGGCGGGGGGGAGAAGATGCATCTTAAAAGTTGGAAGCTTATGTGAATCAGATATGGTACCTCTGAGGGATAGACTTCAAGTCAAAGGAAAAAAGGGAGCTCTGATGACCTACTACTAGTTAAGGAGCTGTACTGCCATCTCATCGGCATGCTGTGAATCCACCAGCTGCTCTGCAAGAGGAAGATGTGCAACTTACTGACTGAAAACCCTCAGAAGGGTTCAGTTACTGGTCAGTTCCAACTCAAGGATATACAACAATCTTGATTCTTTGTAGTACATATATTCTTAAAAGGGCAAAATTATTAGGTTTCATAGCATGTAATGAAACTGATTATTCTAGTGTTATTAATGTTTTTTAAAAAACTGGGTGTACATTTTATTAGATGTTTAGTTTTTTCTTTTCCATTGATGTAATCTTAATGGAAAATGATTTTGTGATTGTGACTCCTCTACATACTGAAGGGGGGGGAATGTATCTAGCTAGCCTTATTTATTAATTTGGGGATTATTCTGAAATTTGTACTTTATAATCCAATTATAAAAGGTAAAACAGGAGGTTGGGGGGACTCAGTCTTACATTATCTGTAGCTTTGACAGAAGGACAAACATGTTTTTTTCTAAGATATCTGTGGGTTAATTTTAAAATTAACGGTGAAATTATTTAGTATCTTCATGCAAAGTAAAATAGCACATACTTTAAAAGTTCTCAAGGCCCATTAAGATTTTAGAGGAAAGCATGAAATACTATCTCATCTTCATCTCAACCAGAATAAATTTAAGGACTAGGGTTAACTGTAGAGAGAGCTCAGCTGGCCTAATAGACAGAAAGTGATGCTACCAACCCAAATGTGGGTGATTTGAATCTGTGTCCCTGAAGCCTGGTTTTATTTGTTTTTGGTCTAACATTCTTCTAGATGGTATAGCACTAGTCTGTGCATTGCTGTACAGAGGTAACTCGTGGTTGCTGTGATGCTGAACACTGTGACCCTGATGTGCCAAATGCAGTATTGGTTACCCATGGCAGACAGTGTTTGGTGGAGCTCCGCAATTAAAACAAGCTTGGAAGCAGGAGTGGTATCCACTTCCAAAATAGCTTGCCTCTGGAAACCCTATGAACTTGGAGACACAGTGAAAGTTATATAAGTGTTCAGGTCTTTCATTCATAGGGTCACTAGCCTACAACTCCACGACATTTAACAACAAGGGTTAAGTGACACCTTTGAATGTTTAACTTTGCTTCTCTTTCAGTCCAGGTAAATAACTAAAAACACTTAACATTTTTATGCATGTAAAACCTCCTAGACCTCAAATGCCAAGAGCTGTTTTCTTGTTCAGTGGTTTGTGAGATTATTAAGCATCTAATGCTATATAGATCCACCAACTCAGTTGCTTAAGTCAGTTACTCTCTATCATGATGATCAGTCTACAGAAAACATTGAAATGATCTGGCTAAAGTAACTTTACACATAAAGCTCCTTGAGAAACAAATGAAAAAGCCATTAATTGGTGGCTTGTTTCTTATTTTAAAACTTTTTAATTTTTTAAAAAACACTAAAGCAAAATTTATTTCAAAAACTGTCTTTAGTTAAAATTTTATGAAGATATCTTTATTAATATGCAAGCCATGGTATTCTAAAAAGCTGTATTTCAAAATGTTGTAATTTCAGAAGATTTCATCTCAAAATTACTAAATGGGCTACTACTAATTCTATGCTAATTATCAGCAAGTATAAATGCTTTCTAAGAAGCAAAGGGTTACTTCTTTGAGTAGCTTCAAGTATCTTGTAGCAACTGTTGTAAAAAGTAGAAATTTAAAAATCATCAAATGGAAGATCAAAGTTTATTTACTACCTGCATACAAAAACATATTGCACATCAAACAACAAAAATTAAAAAAAAAAAAAAAAAAAGAGAAAAAGAAAGAAGGGGGAGGGAGGATACTCTAGCAAGGACTAACATGTAATTTATACAGAATACACCTTCTGGAAATTGATCTTTTCAGTAGTTCAGGTTATGTCTGAATGGACATGACTAATTCAGCTTAGTGTTTCAAACTAAAGCTATGTTTGATTTTTTAAATACTGTACACTTTAATAAATAAACCAAACAAAGCCTCAATGTAGAACAGTCACTGCCAATATCACCCAGTATCCCTGCAGATGAGTTTTAACAAATGTATTCCAGTGGTCTGCAGAGTTTCCTCTACATACAGCATTTTAAAAAAACACATGAAAACAGACCAGTTTCCAGACTAAACTAATGGAGAAAGTACAATTCAGTGCAAAATATTTTAGACTGCATTTCATTCTAGTTTTCCTCAGGTGAAGAAGTGGTTGCATATTATTAAAAATGTAACAAAAGCAGCTAATGCTTTCATAAAGAATATTACTTAGGGATCCCACCCCACCCCACCTCCCCCCATTTCTGCCATATTTTGAAAACAAAATAACATTTCCTATAGCCAGCAACTTTTTTTAATGTTACATATACTATTCTCAAGGCACATCTGATGATATATTTTATAACACAGTAGGTGTCAGAAGTATGTTTAACATATGATTTCTTCAGGATCCCTCCCCTTTCTGAATTCCAAATGGAGGAACTGAAAGTGCAGATGTAAAGACTGGCGATCCATATTCTATCTTTGGCAAGCTTGTACAAGCACTATTGTAAAATGTAATGTGTAAGAACTGTAAACTAGGAACTTCGTCAGTTTATGAAACACCATTCAGGACTGCTGCTTCTTGAATATTTTCTTCTTTTAAGGTATTACTCTTTTCTTCTCCTTGAGTACGTTGTAGCTTAGAAATTTCATCGCCAGAAGCACTAGTTGGGCCATTTATTGCCTTTTCTGAGGGACCATGTTCTTCAATCACATCTTTTGCCTGCCAAAGGGAGACAACTTTTCAACTTCTTTATAAATGCAATCTATAACTGAGGAGGAAAATAGCTATATAAACATTAAACAGCTAACATAATTTTAGGTTGATATATCGCAAAAGGTCAAAAGAATTTAACTGGTTTTTAAATTGAAAACAAATACCAACGTAGTCCACTCTGCTTCTTTCAACTCTGCATCCCTAATGCCTGGTCTCCCAAATCTTAGAAAGAATGTAAACCTGAAAATAAGTTTATTTTAAGCCCTGGAAAGTTGATCATGAAAAAGATAAAAACTATACCCTATCCACAGCAAATAACAGCGCTTTTATGTACTTTTAATTAAAAAAATAACTCATAGATACAGTACACATCAATCCCTCCAATCCTTTAAGACAACTGAAGCTTAAGCGGTCTGTATATCCAAGGTTGTGCGTGCAAGTGTGGGTGGGGTGTGTGTGTACACAAGTGTGTGTGCATCCTTAATGTGTCCCAAATTAATTCTCTTTACTCTCATCTTGGGGCAGACTAAATTTACAAATGCTATTTAAATTTAAAACTGAAAAGTACTTCAAGCATGCAGGCCTTCAGTTACCCCGTGTCAAAAACAAAATGAAGGATCTTTTCAATAAAGTATTATTCATCTATTTGGGAAAATAAGTGGTCATACAGCAAGTTTAGTCATACAAAAAGAAAACTAAATTACACTAAAAGAAAAAAAAAAAACACCACCTACAGGTTAAAATCTCCTTACCATTTCTTTCTTGTTTTTAGCCAAAGTTTCCCTTGGAAGGTTTCTTTGTCTGCTCTGAGACTCAGCTCTAGAAATATAATCTGCAACTGTGACTGTTAAAGATGAGAAAAAAATTACAGGTGTTGAAAAAATACTTCTAAAGTTTATTTATGGATAAAGAGTAATTTCACTATTAAAATAACTTAATGGTGGGTAACCCAGTTTCAGAATTTTCTTAAGGTTGGGTACTACCTCCACCAAAAGCTTGAAAAATGTGCCTGTGACTCAGTGCCGACAATAGAAATTTGAAGCTGGCAAATGGAGCAGGTTGGGGGAAGCCTGGATTAAATCCTCTTTCCCAAGAATCCAGCCATTTTCTTCTGGTTTAATCCAAGGTTGTGAAATAATCTGACATAGAAGGTCACAACCAAAACAGAATATGCTGTGTTCTAAGCCTACAGGGTGTTTTCTGTGGAAGGCAATGTGATAAATTTAGTGTCAATCATGATGATATACCACCAAACTACTAGTTTTGCTTTAAAACAAATAAACATCCAAATGTGGTATTTTGTGGGCCCTTTCCATCCCACACAGGAAAAGATTCTGAACTATCTAAACTATAGGCATAACTTGGAGATACTGTCAGTTTCAGCTCCAGATAAATCACATGACATTTTGGGTTTCCTACTGCATAAAAAAGCTATGCTTACATATACCGTATTAAGTGTGCAATCAATCTTGAACTCACTGCTAAGACATCAGAACGGACTTATGGCAGACCCTACAAAGAGTTCCTGAAGCTGTAAACCGCAGGTAAAGAAACTGCCCATATTCTTACAAAGCTGCAGGTGAATTTAAACTATCAGAAGTGCAGCCCCTGAGTAAGAGTAGTACAGCCTCATATGGACTGCACCACCAGAGCTCCCTTAAGTGAGCAAGAGCATTATGGGAAAGTATTAAATATTTTGGTAATTACCAAATGTGATTAAAAGACATCAAGTGTGCACATGCTCAAACTGAGGGGGGAAAATTAGGAAAAATGGCATCAATAAGATTTGTTCAAAGGTTGCCACAAGTCTTTAATATGTAAAAAATGCCTTCTCTGAAAAGCTCAGTAAAACAAGACGTGCCAGTCGGTATAGGCAAACTAAAGTTGACAAAATACCCATCCCTCAAAAATGGGGACACTGATTATGTGGAAAAAGGGTCAGTGAATTTAGTTACTACTCCCTCTGTGCTTGCACAGAAGTTGATAGATGACAGTAGTGACTGATGGAGGTAAATGGCTATCTCAAGCAAACACTCTATTACCAATCCAACCACAACACATCATCTCTAGTTGAGGCACAGTGACCTGGACTCCCTTAACAAGAACCTATCACTCTGTTCTCTTCCAATGACACTCCACTGACTTTGATAAATATCAAAATAATCACTCTTGCTTTCAAAGACAATTCTTTTCTAGCATAAACTAGTAAAAACATTACACTTTCAAATTACAAAGCTAAGTTAATTATGTCAAGAATGAAACTGCTATTAACTTTAAGGTCAATGGGCATGGAAGAACTCACTCACCATGTTAAAATTAATCTTTTGAGATCAGCTTACATTTACCAATATAAAACATTTACTAATTTAAACTAACATTTACTAGAAACAGTAGAAACTATTTCACATTAAAAAGTGAGTTTCTTAAAATTTGTACTCATGTTGGAGAATGTTTTAGTTGTTTGTTAACGAATTTATAAATACAATTAATAGATTACAAAAGTAAAAAATATAGATATCATGATCCATTCTGTAATATTCAATTTATTATGCTATTTATATAAATGGTGGTCAAACTGTTCTGAGAATGACACAGCTATAATTTTGGGAGCACCACAGAGAAGTCATTATTTCTTTTACTTCAGTCCTCAATGGTAGCTTCAAGAATTCAACTACTTGAATACTCTGCTGCACAGATATAATACAAAACTGGTGTAAATGTTAAAACAATTCTTAAAACCCTTCATTTACTATGTATACGCACAGAATAATACACTTTGGAAACTTAAAACTCTACTTCCCATGCCTCATGTATTAAAACAACAACAACAACAAAAAACCCACAACAAAAAAACTCCCAAGCCGCTGTTGAACCTAGAAAAAAAGGAAATATGCAGGAAATTTGTATAGTTTAATTTGAACTCTAAATTTCCTGTGTGGGATCCAAGTTAATTGAACTGCACACCAGTCTATTGTCAAATTCTAAGTTTACTAAAGAGCATTCACTCCTTAATTTTACAGTACGGCAACCAAAAATTTTGGGTCGAGTAAATTGGGGGAAAAAAACAACAACAAATGAAATGATATAATAAAGAGAATGTTGACAGAGACTTGACTGACAAAATATGACAATGAAGTTTTCCACTCCCCTCTGTCCTATCTCATATTTGGAGAATTCTAAGCTAGGAAAAGCACAAAGCAACACAATCAAACAGGAAAAGATTTGAAATGGAGCACAAATTGTCAAATTACTATCAACTCATTATTCACATGCCAGTGAGCAAAGCTTCATGTTTTGTAATGAGAGAAGATATGGGGGGGATGGGTCGAAAACGGTTGCTACTTTAACACATCTCACTACATTTTATGCCCAATGCTTTAGTAATAAACCACTAATTTAATTATGTTCATTTATTCTATGCTAAACCCATGATGATAGCATGAATTTTCTTATAAAAATGACTAAAAACGTATTCAATGCTGTGCTCCCTTTAAAAATGAATAAACATGATCCCTTTAATTAAAATATATTTCTGAAAAACTTTTTTAACAATATTTGATTCTTTTTACTATTTCCCACCATCTTTAAACATGAACTTCCACAAGAAGAGGAAAGCCTTCACTATACCGAACATGTCTTAAACCACTGAACTTTTACAAATACTATATATACTAAAATTTACATTCGTTAGTTGGTGAAAGCATATGAAAGAGTTTACTATGGGAAAGAATGCAAAAATTGACTTATTTGAAAGGGGTTTTATTTCTGGTGCACACAATTTCTTCATTGTGAATATACGTTAGAGATCAAATTTAAGTCCAAAATAATATAGACACAGCAAACAAGTCCTCTGAAGTTACTAATGTGTGAGACTAAAGTTAACATACTAAACTAAGGTACTAATAATTTGGTTAGTAAGTAGGTGTAAAAAAACCCGCACATTACACTATAACAAATAAAAATGTAACATGCATCCCTCTTATTAGGAAAGACATTCAAGTATTTTTATCTTTCACAGTTTTCCAAATGGTGGGTATTACAATTCCCACCAAAAGAAAAACAGTAACAACAACAACAAAAAAAAAAAAAAAAAGAAGAAGAAGAAAGAGGTGCTAAGTCCAGATATATAATAAGCAGGCACCATGCAGAAGCTGCCAATCAACCTCAATCACAATCTACAATAAAGTGCCTGGGATTACAGACACCATCTCAAGTGTGAAGGATCAGCCATTTATACAAAATAATCATCTTTGCAACAGTATTTCCATGTAAAAACTGAGACATAATATTAGTTTAATTACACAGGTTGTTAAACATCTATGTTCTAAAGAATGCATTTTCTTAAGAGTAGTAATTATTAAGTGAGTAAACAATTTATGCAATGCAAATCTTGAATTATATGCAGTAATGTGTATATGGTAAGTATATTTGAAAAGCAGACACAGGACATCTTTTTCATGCTTGTAACCTGGGGTTGTCAACAGCTTCACACAAGTTACCTGGCTGTCTATCTTCTGCCTGACCCCTGAAACGACGCCTGCGGCTACGATTGCGTCGCTGGGGTTTTTTCTCACTATCATCTGTAATTGCAAAATTACCATCAACTATTCTGACATTTAAAAATAAACTTTCCTTCAAAAATTTAAGGCAGGGTAAACAGAAACATAATCACTTAAAATAAAAACAATATACAATACTGACAAGAAATATACTTTTACAGTCTTAAGCATAGAATGAAAATCAAAACTCTGTCCAGAATTTAGGCTTTAACTCCTAAACATTCAGACTTCTATTACCTTTATTGAGCAGGTAAAGATTTTCTCTCCAATACAGTTTGACTTCTACTAGTTAATGGAAATTAATGTGTATTGATACACACAACCTTCACAAATGACATAAATTTAAAGAGGAAAGATGAAAACTCAATTTTTAAAAGATAGTAAGTGCCTTACAGTTTGTAAATGTCTACTGATTTAATAATATCAAGGGTTCTTTAAGAAGCTCTCCTAGGTTCAAATAATTTGGTTTAGAAAATCCGAGATCTAAACATTTAAGACACAAAGTAATCTACTTTGAAATAAACACTATGAAAATGTCAATTGCGTCACACCTTACCACGTGTCTTTTTCCCTAATTACATACCTAGCCCATTTTCATTAACTGAAGCTGTGTCAGATTCAGTCATTCCATCCATCAGAACAGCATCTTCATCAGTCCTTCGTCTACGAGACCGCCTACGACGGTTAGTACTGTGGTGAGATTCGCTGGCATCAGTGTCTGCAGTCTGATCTGATTCTGTATTATCAAGTAAGCTGTATGGATTGCTGTCTGGATCTTTGAGCACTATATGCATGTCAGAGGCAAGAAATATTTGTTTAAGAGCGCTGCACTTATTATGACGGATCTATATTGTACTATATCAATTAATGGTAAATAAATTTCAATTTTCCCAATAAAATATATTCTGTCTTCAAATAAAAATGTTTCCTGCATCAATATTTTACCTGGAAAATAACAAAAATGATTAAATATGGAAAATATTTTAAACGGTTATGAAACATTAAAGCAAAGAAGACTTCCCAACTTAAGATTATCTCGAGATTGTTAAAGAAAAAAAATACTATAAAATACTGTAGTATTATGTGTTAATTTTAACATTTATATTCTTAATCAATCCTCATATACGGCTAGAAAAATACACTCAGGCAATATGAATTCAAGTAGAAGTACTATTTCTCTTTAATGAGTTCAAAACAAGTCTATCAAATGGGCTAAGTAAAAAAAAAAAAAAAGTTAAAATTCTAGCTAATTTAAAAAAGGGGGGATGTTGAAATGAATGTTGGCAAGTTTTTTATCTCTAGAAACAGCGAAGGTGGGGTAAAATGTTATAAAAGTGAGAAAAAAAGATCATAAGAAAAATACCCCCACCTATTTTCTTTTATTGCCTCCAATAATTATAGAAGAAATTCAACTAATCATGATTTTTCCTAAATTTCCTTTGTTACAACTAGCAAGCTAGTATCTTTGCAAGAGACATTAAGTATATCCATCCATCATAAACACTAGATAAAGTACATTCATTTTGCAATTTAGTATGAGAATTTTATAAATCTTAGCAATTCTGCACACTGTATTTTCCTGGATAGCTATAACCTAGTGGCTAGTGCTCAAAGGATCATCACTCTGGAATTAGGGAGTTCTTTTTAAAACATCTTCAAATTTTATCCTGATTTATTCTAGATTTTGTAATTTATAAGCATCTTTGACATGTATTTAGTATATATAAGGATGGCTTCTATAAAATCTAAAACAATATAATCTTTAGTAAGGGACAGAGAAATTGTAATATTAAAAAGAATGTTTTTTTTTAAATGGTACATAACAACCATGATGTACCATCCATTTCTGACAATTCTCCAACCCCAGTACTGAAACAGAAATAATGCTTATATACAACTCAAAATTTCTAGGTCTCTAAGCACTTATCTTTAGAATTCTTTAAACAGAACGTTCTTAAAAACAATGAATTCCACAATTTCCCCATTCCAAAGTTATCAAAGATGTGACAAAAGTTACCAATATTAAGCTTACAAATGCATTTAAGATTTTTCTGGGTTTTCCTGGCAAACAGAGAGAGCGAGAGCAAGCGAGAGAGAGAGAGAGAGTGGTGTGTGTATCCCAATAAATTTGAAAGAAGTATTTAAACTACACAACTCCCCATTCCACAAATAAAGGCACAAAAAATGACCTTGTGACCTAAATACTGAAGTAAACCTTCAATGAAAAACAACTGACAAGCTTTTTCCTTGTACTGCAATATGGTTCACTATTTTCCAAAGCACAGTGCACAGAAAGAGAAACTTCCAGGAATAAATTATTCCTAAAAAGGGAATTAACATTTAAAAGGTTATACTTTTTACCAAAGAAAGACGCTGACATAGTATATAAAAGACTACCAGAACTGATGGAAGATTTGCCACCACGTGGTCCACCACGACCTCGACCCCCTGAAACACTTCTGCCTCTTCCTCCTGGACGTCTCCTGCTGTCACGTTGATGTCGACTCTCTCGATCATCTTCTCCTGCCAGTGACCAATCACTCAGCTCATCTTTACGTTCAGATTCTGTTTCAGAGGGGTTAGACAGCTCAGAGTTTGTACCTTGGGAAAGAGGAGAATACAACTCATTGATTCCTGACAAAAAGAGACTTGGAATTTTCAAGTTTACTTTCCTAGGACTGTGTAATGAAAATATTAGCTGCTTCAAAGAAAGCGAAATAAAATTTCAAATAAATCTGAAACCAAGAAATAACCAAATATTATTATACCAATCATATACCTACTGGTTATGATTTTTTAAAAAAATATTTTTATTTGCTGAAACAGAATTAACAATACAACTACAGAATCATTTTTCTTGACTGTCGTCGAGTCGAGCACGACTCAAATGGACTCTATAAAAAAAAAAAAAAAAGATTTGAAGCCTCTGTATAACAATTGGCGTTTCTCCAAATTCAGAGTTTCCATTGGCATGTGGTTTAGGAAGTAGATGCCATTTCTGCTTGCAAACAATCATTCTACTATGTAAAAATGCATTTAATAAAGAAAATGTTCCAAAGTTTTAGTTCCTTAAGTTTTAATACCCTAATAATTTACTTTAACATATATAACCAATTATTTTACCAAAAAAAGTCCTAAGTTTTAGTTCCAAGTTTTTAATATTCTAATAGACCCTCTATGAGATGGATCGATTCAGTGACTGGGGTAATCGGGATGGGTGTGTCAGAGGCAGTGCGGTTGCCGCAGGATAGAGCAGGGTTTAGGGCTGTTGTGCATAGGGTCGCTATGAGTCGGAAACGACTCGACGGCACATAATAACAACAACAATAATTGCCAAAAATGGTATAGCACTGCTCTTGTTGATTTGCTGTACAGAGTTAACTCAAGGTGGCTGTGATGCTGAACACCATGATCCTGATATGCCAAACACGATATTGGTCACCAATGTTTGGCGTAGCTCTCAGATTAAAACAAGCTTGGAAGCAGGAGTGGCATCCACTTCTGAAATAGTTTGCCTCTGAAAACCCTATAAACTTAGAGAAATGAAGAAAGTTCCTATTGTCACTATTAGTCACCTATGACTTGACAGCATTTAACAATAACAACAATTGCAACATATATAACCAATACCCACTACTGAACGCTAATCTCATATTTAGAAAAAGTATAATCATATAAACCATCCCAATATTAAAATATTATAGATTCCAGAGTACACATTAACAATTTAACAGTTCTGAAATCGGGATGTATCTTAGCTAACAAGGTCTTTATCAATGAGGACTATATTTTAAGAATGGGGAGGGAAGGATTCTGAGGCTTCATCTAACATACTTTGGACATGCTGTAAGGAGGCACAAGTCCTTGGAGAGGGACATCATGCTTGGTAGGGTGGAGGGACAGCACAGGACAGAAAGGCCCTCTATGAGGTGGATTGATTCAGTGACTGGGGAAATGGGGGTAGGTGTATCACAGACAGTGAGATTGGCACAGGACAGAGCAGAGCTTAGGGCCATTGTACATAGCATCACTATGAGTCGCAAGTGACTCAATGGCACATAACAACATAGTTTCGCCCACAAGTTTAATTTTAAGAATACTTAAAATTGCCAACCATCTTTATAAAAGACTTCTTTGAAAGTTAAATTACACCTGGCAAACAGAACTGAAAGCAAAAGTAAGATAAAATTTCAATGTCTTTAAAAGCTCAGTGATAACCTTTTTTAACAGTAACTTAAAAAAGAGCTGAAACTCTGTAAAGATTAAAAAAAACCTAGAATATTGTCTTTTATTACAATTAAAATGTCAGGAAATACATGAATCACTTATTATCATACCCATTCCCACATATATGATATTAGTTCTAGAATTTCATTTCTTTTCTTCTTCTCAACATTGGCTCAATTTCAAGTTTAAAAAAATTGAACAGATTTTACTTATTGTGAAGATGGTTTACACTATTATCAATAGTAATTGTGTACTATCAATTACATGATATACTATTTTGTGTACTATTAAGAAAACTTTGCCCATTAAAGTTGCAATATACCATCAATTTTAATACACAGGGAAAGAGATGTTCTTTACAGAACCATTGATTAAATCACTTGAAATCTTAATTATTAAATATACAAGGGCATCCATAACCAACTTTAAACCATTTTTCTTTTCCTCCCATGACCATTCAAATTCAAAATCCATTAAAAATACACAATACTATTCTTCAAATATTTAGCAGTGAGAGTGCCACCTACTGAACAATTTGCAAAGCTTGACCCCAAATTCAGATGATTTCCTTTAATATTGATAAATTTGTTCTTCACAAAAGAATTCATGAAGAATAGCCCTTCAATAAAGCATACTATCTTCAGAATAAAGAAATTTTTCATCATCATCCAAAAAGCCAAATCTGATATTTTTTGTTAATAATTTATACTTCAAAAACATAGCAAAATGTACTAAGTTTCATTTACTAGTAAATTTTTTATTAAATATCTTGTCAGGAATATGTAATGTAATTCTCATCCTTTACAAGCTAATTCACTTTTCACTTTAGTGGAATTTGGCTTTTTTGGTTGAAAGAATGTTAACAGAAAGAATCTTAAAAACCAAGAAAATGAAATTAACACACAGGTATGAGAATGTAGAGGGGACAATTAACCCCTTACTTATTAAACAAAGCAAAGGGTTCTAGATGTAAGACTTTAACATTATCATTAGACAGTCCTTAGTCACACATAAACTTTGCATCTGAAATCTGAAAACCAAAAGATGTTCATGTTTTTCTATTTTGCCTGATGTGCAAGTTAAATTCTGAAAAAGATTTACACAAAATGTTTCCAAAACCATTTACATGAGCCTAGAGAAATGATTAAGATAGAAGCAGAGAGGAAAAGAGAAGTAAAGGCAAATAAATCAAGAAAAGGGGGGAGAGGGGGGAAGTTCGGAGGGAGGAAGCCACTGCTAAGATCCAAGTCCAAATGTAGAAAATGAAACAACTCCAAAGCTGAAGAAGAGTAAAGGAGAATTTTTGATTAGAGCATTGTTACTCTCACCAATAAACAGCCCTTTCCTACCCAAAGTAAGGCCTTGTATCTCAGTGAAATACATTTTACAAAAACATTCTTTCAAAAAATTATTCATTATATTTGCTCAAGCTATTTTAGTGAACTGTTGTACTACACAAAATTATTTCCAATGTGAGATGTCAATATTCAACAATGTCAAACGAGCCAGTAAAATATTATTTTAAAAACTACAAAACATGTTCTATATATGTAGTCTTGGCATGATGTTATAAATGCCATCATCAAGTTTCAATTGGCAATATGCAGAATTAATATAGGAAATGTTGGGACAAGTTATATATATATTAATTCCAAGTATTTTGAATAAATATGATCTTGTAATACTACTTAAAACACCATCATGTCATTGCTTAAATGTTTGGAAGTCATTAACATAAAATGAGCACTATGATGAAGACATCATAACTTCAGAATGATCTCCTGCCCTTAAAACCAACAGTGATTAAACTTAAGTACAGAACCCCTAAATTTAAAAAATTGTTTTTACCATAACCGGAGGTGTAATTGGGGCCCCGACGACCTCTGCCTCTTCCACTATAAGACCTAGAACCTTGTACAGAAGAGACGGTACTTTCATCAGTGGCATATCCTTTTTCTTTTTCAGGCCCTCTGGTGGAAGAAGGTCTGAAACCCATACCAATCTGTCGTAGCTGTTCATCAATCTGCAGGCGTTCCATTCTTAGCTGTTCTACTTCCTACAATTAAAAAAGGAACAAAGTATTCATACAACCTAAAATCTGTACTTCCAACCTATGAATAAAGTTTACACAATTATTTTGATGTAACATCCTTTTTCAGTAAAGAAATGTGCAAAAAAATAAGAAATGTGGTAATTAATTTGATATTTACTGAATGCTAAGACACAAGCCAAGAGTACTAAATGCTACAAGTATATAACACAGAAGTCATGAACTCTCTCCATTTAAGGATAAATTTAACAACTTTTAAAATCACTTAAAGAGGTATTAATTATATAATATTACCGTAATTTGGGTTTAGTGAGCTTAAACTACTAAAGGATACATAAATTCTACTACAAATATGTTTACCAGATAGAGAAACAATGTAAAAAATATACAAACCTTTAGATAAGCAATATGATATTCCAAAAGCACTTGCACATTTCCAATGCTTTCTTTAGTGCCAACAAATACAAAAGGAACCATCCCCTGCAAATAAAGACATCATTTTAACAAACTTCTAGTCAAAATTTTCCAAACCAATACATATGTAAGATTTCTAAAGCACATTAATAATTTAAATCTAAGGCGCGTTAATGGCCTAGTGGCACTGCAATCTCAAAGGAATTTGGTTCGAATCCACAAGCTGTTCCACAAGACAAAAGATGGGCAATCTCTTCTCTTGTGATTAACTGTCTCTGAAAACCCAACGGCCAGCTTTGGGTTGGATCTGACACAATCGTACACAAGAAGTATCAATAATGGCAGAGGAAAAAGCCTGTTTCAATTATTTTATATACTAAGATTTATAGTAACCTTCCACAGTTACGCTACAATTTAGTATTAAGTATATAAAAGTATTTAAGATTATGTTTTTAAAGTATACAACAAACTACCTAACTCTCAAAGTCTAAGACAACTTCAAAGAGATTTTCCCTCAATCTGGCATGAATTTACAAACTAAAATCTAAATCCATAAGCTGAATAGTGAAAGTATTTAACAATTTATCACTATTATGTGCTCAGATAACAAAACTCTTGAATTTGAATGTCTGTGTACTGGATAAGATGGGTCCAGATCATAATAGATCACCCAAAGAGTGTAAATATTTACATACTAAACAAAGTCATTTTTTTAATGATCTCAAACATTAGAGTAAATCAAAGGATTAACAAAGACCTTTACTTCACTGAATTTCAAACACTATGGTCTTAAGAGGAGGAAAGAAAAATATCACCATTTCCTTAAGAGACTTAAATGTGGCTTAATAATGCCAGGTTCTATTAATAAACTGGTCGGAAAAAAACAAACAAAAACAAACATGTAGATATGGTTGCACAGAAAATCAATTTGCTCTGTGAGCAATCACAATTTTTAGAAGGTTACAAAGGAACAAAACACTCTAGTTCTATGTATACACTATGAAACTACTTCACTTCCTAACAAATGTTTTAAGTGGTATTTGGTGAATTTTAGACTTGAGAGAATAAAAAAGGAACTAGATTGTAAGTTAAAGATTGAATATAGATCACAGCTATGATTACCCTAAACCTATAAAGGCTGAAAACATGACAATTATGATGGTATGAAACAAAAGACCCTAAATTAATCTTAAACAATAAGCAAGTTTCTCGAGAATTCAAAGGTAGGTTAAGACATTTAAAGTGAATGAAAGCTCATGTGTGGAACTATTATGCATCCTACATCATTATTTACTTTTACTAGAAATAAATAATACCCTTGTTTTTAAAATAAATATTGTAAAAAAAGAAATTATTTGTCTAAAGTCACAAAATTAACTCCTGATCAGAGTCAATGTCTACGTTATCTATTTCCAAGTGAAATTAATCTCTTTTCCAAGTCTTGGCAACTCTGCGCATAACAGAATAGGGTTGTCTTGCCTGCTTCTTTTTAGAGGTAGATTAACGGGACTTTCCATTATAGCAATGACAGGTAGGTTTAAATGATACAATTTTTCTGTTAGTTGTTGTTAGAGGTCATTGAGGTAACTGTAACTCAAAATGACCCTAAGAGATCAAAATCTTACCCTATCTTTCAATACTATCAACGATCTCCTTCATCATGCCACTCAGAGTCTTGTCTTTCACTAACCCTCTTCTCCAACGCCTCAATTCAAAAGTATTGATCTTTTTTTTTTTCTTTCTTGTTAAGTATCCAACTTTCAGATGCACAGGGAAGAAATGTAAAAGGAAAAACCATGGCTTTGAACATAAACACCTTAATCTTTAAATCAGCCTCCTTGATCTCTTTAGCACCAGAAGCAACACGTCTTTTGATTTTTCAACTCTAGAGTTGACTGTGGATTCAAGTAAACTACAATCGCTGATAACTTGAATCTTTTCTCCATCTATCCTGATGGGTCCTACTGGTGAGGTGTTCTGGATTTTTACATCCCATTAGTTATAGTCTAGCAAAATCTCTTGACACTCAGGGAACTAATTCCAAATATGCTTATAAAAATGCTACAATAATGGATTAAATTTCAATTCTAAAGTTAATATATCTCATAAGATTCCTATTATAACTTCATCTTAGTAGTAATAATATAAACCAAGAAATACAGGATTATGCAAAATGTGATTTATCCCATTCTAATGCAAAAACATTAGAATTCCTAAAAATTGGTGGGTTTTCAAGAAGAAAAGACTTTAAACAGTAACACTGCAGACACATGAATCAGCAAGGACTTGCTAATGCTCAAAAGAGATAAAAAACCTCCAAGAAAGGTGAAACTAATCCTTAAAACCCTACACAAGTATTTACTGGCTATTATAAATCTGTAAGAAAGAAATAATGTAAATTAAGAGTTCATTACTAACAGTCATTTTAGTTGTGTCAAGGCTTAAAAAAAAAAAGCTAAATTGATTTTATGTCGTAGTTGGCAACAAGACCAACAACAAACACTCTAAGCGGGGCAAAAACCTTAAAAGCAAGATCTCTATTCCCAACGTGTCTCCCAGTTGTCAAGTGGGCCCTGACAAACACGGACTTTGTGTTCAACAGAATGAAACCTTGTCCAATTTTGCATTATCCTTAAAAATATCTACTTAATTTCACTTTCGTGATAACTGTGTCCATTTATCTCCTTCTGTATCATGATGTCTTTTTTCCAAGGATGAGCACCACCTGGCAACATGACAGTCCGGAAAAGAGAGGAAGGCCCTCATTAATAAGATAAATGGAAAAAAAAATAAAAAATAAGATAAATGGACACAGTGACTGCAACAACAGAACAAGGTGCAGACAGGGTCACTATGAAAAGAAATTCAGTTGTAGTCAGTTTGTCTTGGGAAAGGTGTAGTCGGAATGCTCCATGGAGGTAAAGTATGATAAAGCTTTGTCTTGCATACTTTGGACATATTACATTGCTAGAGAGACGAGTCCTTAGAATGGGATATCATGTTTGGAAAGGTGGAAGACTAGTTAAAGAGAAGATGGCCCCAACAAGATGGACACAGTGACTGCAACAACGGTTCAAATGTACTGTTCAGAGAGTTGCCATGAGTGGTACTTGACATAATGGCAACTAACAAAAAGAACAAATATAACGATATTTCCTTGAGTCTTCCCCTTATTCACCGATCCTCTCCTTTTCCTGACAGGATGCCATTTTCTAGGCCCTTGCTAATACTATCAAGTATGCAAGATGAAGTCTTAACATCTCTGCTTCTAGGAAACACAAAGGCTTCATTTTTACAACAGACATGCCTGTTCAAAGTTCATGGTATATTCAATAACTTTCACCAACCAGAACATTAGTAATTCTTTGATCTTATTCACTGTCCAACTTTAATATGCATAGGAAGCAAACGAAAATTTCACAGCTTTGGCAGGCACAAGCATATGTTAAGTCTTTAAAGCAACATTTTTCTGCTTTAGTACTTTTAAAAGTCTTTGGCAGCAGATATGCCCAATGCAGCATGCTGATTTCTTCACTATGGATATTATTGATACTAAAATGAAATTACTGCCAATGTCAATCTTTTCTCTATCAGACGTTTTTATTGATCCAGTTCTGAAGATTCTTGTTTACACTGAAACATGATCCACACTGACAGGTATATATTCTTTGAGCTTCCTTCATTCATATAACTTTTATTTTGTATAAGCAAAATTGTGTCATCTTCTACTGTAGGTAACTGATGAGTCTTCTTTTAATTCTGATGCCAAATTCTTCTTCATATAGTTTAGCTTCTCAAATTAAATAGGTACAGAGAAAGGATACAATCTGGCACACCATTTCCTGATTTTAAACCATGAAGTATCCCCTTGTTCTATAGTTTATGTATAAGTTCCATAAACACAAATAGCCTAGAATTCTTATTTTTCCATTTTCAAACTGTTACACATAATTTATTATGATCCACAGTCAAATGCCTTTGCATAATCAAAAAACACAAGTGCTTATATTTCTGGTAATCCATCTATAAGCAATGATGTCTCATTCCATGCCTCTTCTGAATACAGGAGCTCTTCTAACTGGCTGTACAGAAAGGCTATCTTACAAATTTCTTGGAATACTTAGACCAGAGTACCTCTAGGGGCTTCAGAAAATCCTGCAGTGTTATTTTTTTCTGCCAATTGCTTCAAAATTAATTTGGACTTCTTCCTTCAGTATCACTGGTTCTTGATCATATTCAAGCTCAGTGTAGCCCAATCTTTTCTGGTACAGTAACTCTGCATATTCTATTTCCTTTTGACACTTCCTGCATATATTGGTTCTTTTTCCCCATAAAATTTTATTCAGTAGTGCAATTAAGGTATGAATTATTTTCCTTCAATTCTTTCCATTAACAAACAAAGAACAGCAAAATACTGTCTGATAAGAGATCCATAAAATAAAACCCTTGGGTGGAAGGCACTCAAATCAGATTAGGGAAGAATGGCTTTCTCAAAGAGTCTACCATAATGACATGGATGAGGTAATGCTTTCAGCCAAGGAGGAACCTTCACCAATTCAAGTTTTTCGAGACAGTAAATCACATGGAAAGAGAGTATCTATTCTTTTCCTGTGGAGCAGCTGAACTATGTGCCTTTAGGATTGCAGCACAGTTTCTTGTCAAGTAGGCCACCAGAGCTCCTTAATAATTCTAACATTGTTGTTATGTGCCGTCGAGTCGTTTGCGACTCATAGTGACCCTACGCACAACAGCCCTAAACCCTGCTCTATCCTGTGCCAACTACACTGCCTCTGACACACCCATCCCGATTACCCCAGTCACCGAGTCAATTCATCTCATAGAGGGTCTTCATAGAATGTTTAAAATATGAATTTGGGAAATTTGGAAGTTATCCAATAAAATGAAGTACACAAAAATTCATAACCTAGGCATTGTTGTTGCTGGGAACTGGTGAGGTGGAATCAACCAACAGCTGGTGGATTTTCAGAGGCAGTTAATCTTACAGGAGGAGACTGCTCATCCTTCTTCTGTTATTGGCCATTTGAGTAAGACACATAAATAGTTTA